GTTCTCCTGTAATGTTATAATTATTATATATTATTATTATACAGGATGTATATAGCACCAACAGTTTGCCCAGCGCTTTACAATATAAGGAAGACATTACAATCACAATACAATTCAAGACAAGATGGTGAGGAGGGCCCTGCCCCTGAGGGCTTACAATCTTAAAGAGGAGGGAGCTGTGTCGGGGATGATTTGTTTGAGAATGTGATGGTTGAGTGGTCAGGTTGATGTGGGATCGGCTTCCCTGAAGAGATGAGTCCTTTGGGAACGCCTAAATCAGTCAATGTGGGAGATAGATGGACAGGTTGGGGTAAAGAGTTCCAGAGGATGGGAGAGACTCTAGTGAAGTCCTGGAGGCGAGCATGTGAGAAGAAAACAAGGGAGCTGGAAAGCAGGAGGTCTTGGGATGAGCGGAGGGGACGGTTAGGGTGATATTTTGAGACAAGGTCTGAGATCCGGGGGTGGAGTTGTGAATGGCTTTATAAGTGATTGTTAATATTTAGAATTTTATCCTCTGGGTGAAATCATTTAGTAGATTAGTGACACGCAAGGACACAGAGGGGGAGAGTTGTGTAGTGGAAACATAGATTTGAGTGTCATCGGCATAGAGATGGTATTGGAAGCCATGTGAGGTTATTAATTGACCAAGGGAGGAGGTTTAGATGGAGAAGAGGAGGGGTCCAACGACACCGCCTTGGGGGACCCATACAGAAAGAGGAAGAGGAGGGGAGGAGTTAGAATTGTAGGTGACACTAAAGGAGGAGCTTAGATAGGTAGGAGGAGAACCATGAGAGAGCCGAGTCTTGTAGGCCAGTTTGGAGTTTTTTGAGGAGCAGCGGGTGGTCAACAATGTCAGAAGCAGCAGAAAGGTCTAATAGCAAGAGTAAGCTGTAGTGGGGGGTCAGAGTAAGGAGTAGTGGGGGGTCAGAGTAAGGAGTAGTGGCCGTTGTTTTTTGCAGTTAGCAGGTCATTGGTGAGTTTTAGGAGGGTGGTTTCAGTGGAGTGTAGGGGGGCAAAAGCCAGACTGAAACGGGTCCAAAAGGTTGTTATTAGTGAGGTGGCGGTTCAGGCAGTTGTAGATAAGGCGTTCTAGTAGTATAGAGGTGAATGGGAGTAAGGAGATAGGTCTGAAATTATTGAGGTTGGTAGTTGGTAATGTTATAATGTCTAATCCCGAGTCTATTACCCTCCCAATCTTACTATTGTCTGCAGACACAGGAACACAGCTATTTACACCTTCCCTGATATAATTAATAAACAGGTTAAACAATATGGGGCCTAGCGCAGAACCCTGGGGCACGCCCAGGGACGGATTTATTCGCCCTGCCGCCCCAAGGCCAGGTTCCGCATTACACCTCCAATACAGGAGTTCTAGCACAGCACTGTACTGGAACTCCTGTGACAGGTGAGAGGGGAAGAGCACGGCACGGCACAGCACAGCACAGCTCTCCCCTCTCACTGTGTACACGAAGCGGCAGGGTTACTTTTAACCCTGCCGCTCTGATCACTGCAGTGAGAAGAGGCTCGGCGGCGGAGG